AAAAAAAAAAAAAAAAAGAGAAGAAATCTAAATCTAAGCTTCAGAATCATTTGTTTTTGAGATATAAACAGATGCTTCTCAACTTACAATGGGGTTATAGCCCAATAAAGCCCCTGTAAGTTAAAAATACATTTCATATGGCTAGCCTACCAAACACCATCGTATAGCCTAGCCTGCCTCCCTATTAGGTACCTACTAATAGCATCACTCCTTTTTACCTGTGAATGAACCAACTGCCTTCACTATGTAATAATTTATTTATTTTATTTAGTTGGAGTCTCATTCTGTAGCTCAGACTGGAGTGCAGTGGCCGCTCCCGGCCACTGCAGCCTCGACCCACTGGGCTCCGGCGATCCTTCCGCCTCAGCCTTCCAAGTAACTGGAATTACAGGTGTGCGCTACCATGCCCAGCTAATTTTTGATTTATTGTGGAGATGAGGTCTCGCCAAGTTGCCCAGGTGGGTCTCGAACCCACAGGCTCCGGCAATCCACTCACCTCAGCCTCCCAAAGCGCAGGACTACAGGCTGAGCCACCGAGCCCGGCTGTAATAATGTTTTTCTTTTGAGTAGAAGTCTCATTCTGCTGCCCAGGCTGTAGTGTAATGGCATGATCATGGCCACTGCAGCCTCAACCTGCTGGGTTCAGGTGAACTTTCCACCTCAGTCTTCTAAGTAGCTGGAACCACAGGCTTGTACCACCACGCTTGGCTAATTTTTTTATTTATTGTAGAGACAAGGTCTCAGTAAGTTGCCCAGGTTGGTATCGAACCCCTGGGCTCAGGCAATCCTCTTGCCTCTGCCTTCCAAAATATTGGGATTACAGGCATGAGCCACCGTGTCTAGAACTAATAATTTTTAATTTCTTCCATACTGTTGCTTCTGAGTCAAATACTTTTCCAATGTGTATTTATGTTTGTTTTAGCTTCCCACCCAAATTTAAGTCCCAGAATGAACCCATAGCTGTGGCTCACTCAGGACAAACGCCTATACACAGTCTATACTCAGTCCAAGTTATGTAATCTACTTTATGTTTACCACTCTGCTGGGTTCCAGTTTATGGGAACATATAGTTTTAAGATTAGAAATAAGCTAGGCTCAGTGGCTCAGCCTGTAATCCCGCGACTTTGGGAGGCTGAGGTGAGTGGATTGTCTGAGCCCGTGGGTTCGAGACCCGCCTGGGCAACTTGGCAAGACCTCATCTCTACAATAAATCAAAAATCAACCAGGCGTGGGATCGCCTGTAATTCCGGCTACTTGGAAGGCTGAGGGAGAAGAATTACCTGAGCCCACCAGGTCGAGGATGGGGTAGCTGTGAACATGCTACAGCATTCCAGTCTCAGTAAGAGTAAGATTCTGACTCAAAAAAAAAAAAAAAAAAGAAAACAATTAATTGACTCCAAGAAATACGAGTGGGGCATGAGAGTGGCTAGCAAGCATTCACCCTCTCCCCTTAGGCTACCACAGCAAGGGGTCTTTCCTCCCCAAGAAGCTCATTCACCTTTCCCTAGCACAGCTGCGAAGAACAAGGTGGATAGCAAGGGAGATAAAACGGCCCTCCTTTCAAACTCCCCTGGAAGAACAGGTACTTACCAAGGAGGGGGTAGAGATGAACTTAGAGCAGGCGTACATCTTCAGGGGGTGAGGGGCTGTGGCAGGAGAGCTGGAATTACAGAAGCAGCATTGTCAACCTGTCCTTGGTCATCTTTCTAGGACAGAAAAGGCGCTCTAGAAAGTTTAACTGTCCCAGACTTATCTTAAGTCGCCAGCAGAGATGGAATTAGAGCCCCGAAGTCATTATTTCTTCCAGAAACCCCACACAACTCCCAAGATGTCCTTATAATCAAGTGACTTCCCTGCATCTTAGCTTCAGCCTAGCTTTGAGACTTGTTATCCACTTCCATAGCCTCATGACTTGCAGTTCAGAGGGATTTTTCCAGAGTGTTCTTTGCTTAAGTTTCCCTCGGTTTCTATTCAAACAAAACTCAGCATCTCATTTCTGGGCCTTAAAAAGTTGCCCTCTGAAGACTAGTCTTTGTACTCTTGGGAGGTATTTGTTGAAAGCAAGGCACTGGAAGCTCCTCAACAATCATTTTACTGATTCATCTTAAAGTATTTAGTTCCTCAAAACACTTCAATTTCCTACATTAACAAGATGAGGCAGCTCAGGAGGAACTCTGCCATTAATCTGTTTAGCAATGACTGTTTAAATATTCATTTCCAGCCGGGCTCGGTGGCTCAGCATGTAATCCTGCGCCTTGGGAGGCTGAGGTGAGTGGATTGCCTGAGCCTGCGGGTTCGAGACCCGTCTGGGCAACTTGGTGAGACCTTATCTCTACAATAAATCAAAAAATCAGCCAGGAGTGGTAGTGCACACCTGTAGTTCCAGTTACTTGGAAGGCTGAGGCGGAAGGATCGCCGGAGCCCAGCAGGTCGAGGCTGCGGTGGCTGGGAGCGGCCACTGCACTCCAGTCTAGGCAACAGAGTGAGACTCCAACTCAAAAAAAAAAAAAAAAAAAGTATTCATTTCCACCATTACACTAAAAGGCATTAAATTGTGTATCCCAAGATCTAAAGAAGGCCTGACACCTTGTAGGTGTCTAAATTGGTAGAACCGAACTTACCTGAGAAGATTGGGTGAGTTAAAGACCTAAAGGCAGGGTTTCTCCAAGTTAACTGAGAAGTTCACCTGAACCAGAATTATTTAGGGACGGGAGTAGTGTATGTATTAAGAATGCATATTCTTAAGTCCCACCTTAGACTTCCCTAGTCAAGATCTCAGGGGATACAGCCCAAATACTCTGTATTTCGAAATTTCCCAAATGACTGTTAGGTACAGTTTAACTATAAGAACATAGCCTTAAAATCCGCCTTGAAACTATGGTAGTGGTAAAGGCAGAACTTGAACTCGGATTTTTCACTCTCCAGTTACATGTTTTCTAGTATGTCACAGGCTGAAATACCAGTGAATGCTTAGGCCTATTAAATGCCACTTCCTTAAATTAACTAACTCAGACTATCCCAAGTTAAAGCACGTCTGTCTTCAACTCTTGTCCTATCCAGAACTCTGATTTCGGCCTATATGTAACTCTCACCCAATTTTGCTGCCACTAACTATTCAGGTTTTCTTGGGTCAAAATTCAATAACTTCAAGAAGTCCTTAGAAAGGGCTTTCCCCCTCCCCAGTGGAAACCTCAGTATCATTTGTAAACTGTAGTTCTCAGGGGGATCAAATGAGTTCATTTACAAATTAATGTCTGTGAAGCCCTTACTATGGTGCTGGCCAGTGGTAAACCCACAACAAAGGGTGGCAATTAAGGGAGTCAGCAAAAGTGCAGATTCCCCCACCTGCCATCTAACCATGACAAGCCTACACCTTGAGCCAAGACACTACCCAGAATCAGGGCTCCTAAATCATCCTGGACTTCTTCCTCAGTGTAGACGTGTTACTCTGACTTAACGGTTTCCTTCCTGAAGCCTTCTCCTCTTAACGGCAGAACCTGGGAGGGTTACTAAACCCTTGACATGAAGGCCGGCACATGGAGACTCTCACGCCGGCCTCACTAGCTTGGCCTTACTCCACACTTCTGGGCTTGCTGCCTCTAACAGCAGCTCTCATTTCTAGCCCACCGTTTTGTGATCTTTTTTCCAACATCGGTGGAGGACCAGGGAGGTACGAGAAGGGTATGGGGAAAAGACCCACCGCTCCAAAAATACCCGGCCCCACAGCTCTCCTAGGCCACGGCCTGGCGGGAGGGGGTGTTTGGGCTGTTCTGTTCGCCTCTACCATGTTCACGGTTTAGTTTTTAAACTTAGGGGTGCTGACTAGAGGGACTGGTGGCTTTAGACGATCCACTATCTCCACTGCTCGGAGCACCTGCGGTCCAGGGGCCGAAAGTCTGGAGATTTCAGAATAAAGAAGGCACGAGTCAGGATCAGAAGAGAAAGCAGACGTAGGAGGGGAGGATATGGGGGTTGTGACAATCTGAAGGGGAAGAGGGTGTGAAAAGGGCGTCTGATCAGCGCTGGGGTCGGACAGGTGTAAATGAGCACGCTGGGATCTGACTTTCGCCAGTTCCAAGGCGCCCTCCCCCCCACGAGGCATCCAAGATGGCGCCAGGCCCGCGCGGCTGGAGGTCACCGGCACGCGAAGAGCCAGCTCTAAAGAGCGGGGACACCTGGAGCCAGGGAGGGCGCGAGGACTGGGGTGGGAGCAAGCAAGGTAAGGGCCTCAAGGCATCCGCGCGAGATGGGGTGCCCGGCGCGCGTGCGCGGCTCAAAGAGGGCACGAGGCCCTAAGGCCTTACCTGCTCCCAGTGCAGAGAAGACAGACAGGGGCGGGGGGGCGGGAATAGCGAAAGGAAGGCTCGGCGCATGTGCGGCGCGAGCCAACGAGTCGCTCTGCTACGGATAGAGCGACCGCAAATGGCGAGGATCGGCTCCAGCGCCACAGCGCCGCCTGCCCGCACTGGGGCGGTATCCGGCCAGTTGCTCCACCTGGCGTTGGAGAGGAGAAACTACAGGCGCAGCCGACCACACGCAGAAACGAGGCCAACTCCGCGGAGTAAGCGGATCCGTAACGTGGCCCGCGGTTAGGGCTGCACAGCGTTTGGCATCTTAGACTTGCGTCCCCTTTGCGAGCATGCGCAGTCACATTGAAAAAAAAAGAACCTATTCAGAATTCAGTGTTAAATAATATACAATCGAGATTGGGGTTCAGTGCCTAAAATGTAGCAGGAAGATGAAGCCTTGGCAGTCCTGCCTTGGGTCGCGACGGGACACTGGCAACATTGGACTGGACACCGGCTCAGTGGGCGAATAGTCAGCAAAATGTCCCAGCCGCTTTGGTGGCCTCGCCTTCCCCGGACTCTCTTCCCCTGTTTCCTCTTCTGGCGACAAGCCTTGAGAAAACCTGCCATCCGCGAACCAGAAGACAGGGGCTGAATACGAGTCCTAGAACAGACTAGGATTAGCGGGCACCTGTGACCTGCGGCGGGTGCGAGGTCGCCCCGGGAATGCCCGAGCCCCCGCACAGGTTCCCCCACGCGAGTTGGGGTGGGCAGTCCCCCCGCCCCCAGACGTTCTGAGAGCCCCATCTTCTGTCCCGTGCCCTTTGGCTCATCCTGCCCCGGAAGAGGGGAGGCTTCTCCGCCTCTCTGTCCCCCAGCCCGGGCCTCCCCGCCGTTTGGAGGGGGGCGGCGAGGCCTACCCGGTCCCCAACCTCAGCCGTCCTGGCTGGCATCGTGCTTTGGACGCCGCACGAGAGAGCCGGGAAGAGCGCACCAAACCCCATAAAAAATAAAAAATAAAAAGAAAGCCGCGGCTGTAAATAAAGCCAAATCCGCCACCCTCGGAGGGGCCGTTTGTCCTCCCCTCCTTGGCCCCGTCCTTCCCGCCGCCCCCTCCCGGCTCCGGGCCCCGCGGCGCCCCGGCCCCGAGCTCCTCCATTTAATCGGATTTGGGAGAAGGGGAGGATAAATCACGGCAGCAGCTTTACGGTCCCGGAGGAGAGGCGAGCCGCAGCCAGGCACACCCCGGCCGGCGATAAAAACCGCCGCTGAAAGCCCACGGAGCAATTTCCCGGGACCCCGAGCGACGCCATTACAGGAATGTAATTTTGCCCGGATGAGGCCCCGAGTTTAATTATCCTCGCGGAGGAATTTCAATGCGGCCAATCCATCTTGCAGGCGGGCGGCAGAGGGATTTATATGGGCCCGTTATTTCACACCGATCCTCCATCTGCATTTTTATGGCCCCGAGCTCCTGGAAGAGGGGCGGGGGGGGTGGGGAGAAAGGAGACGCTGGAGTAGAGGAGGGTGGGGCGCGGCCCGTCTTCCCTAAATCCGCGTGGCCAGCTGGCTTGGGATGCTCACGGGTTCCCCCGAAATCCCCAAATCTCTGTCTGGTTCTGGTTGCTGACGGTGCCCGGAGCGGGCGGGCGGGTAGGTGGGCCCTAACTGGGATCCTGGGTCGTCAATCAACAGGTATTTACCAAGAACCAAGCGGTGCCAGGCGCTGTGTAGACGCTGTTAGGGGCAGGGGAGGACGGCTAGCAAGGACGTAAGAGTTTGTCCCCTGAGGTCTCTAGACACCCCCACCAAAACCATTTCGTTGAGCTCTCAGCTTCACATCCTCCCGGGCAGAGAAAGTCTGTGGTTCGTAGGAGCCGCCACCACCAAACGGTCGTGGCAGCTGTTTGTTGAGACGACGTGGACACGCAGACGTCGCTAACGATCTCAGAAGAGGATCGAAGAGACCTGGAAGGAAGCTAAAGCTGGCTCCTTCCAGGAGTTGGGAGAGCCCGCAATGTTTAATAGCGCTTTACCCCTAGGGAGTGATGGGCTCTGGTTTCAGACAAACCTGGGTTCCCAAATCGCGGCGTGACTTGGGGCAAGCTGTTCAGCCCCTCTAAATCGATTTCCTCTTAGGTAAATTGGGGATAATAATAGTCCTTACCCCACAGCCAATATTGGGATAATATACAGAAGCTTATAGCAAGGTACTTGGTACCCAGTACGAGTTCAGTATTGCTAGCTAGCATCATCACCATCATCCTTGTTAGAAGTATTGCAACTCAATTCTGCACTGCTCCCTAGAGACTTTATTGCAAGGTCCTTGAGATGGTATCCCCCGAAAGAGACTCAAAAACTGTCACTTTAAAAACTTTTCACCTACATATAGCATACAAAACAGATTATTGCTATGATGGTGGATGAAGGTCTGTGGGGAGGCTGAGAATCCCGGGGCCTGTTGCTATGAGGTTTGAAGCAAGAAATTACATCAGTAGAACAGCCAGGCTACAAAAAGTGGATGGAGGTTTGTGAGGGGAGGGGTGAATGTGAAGTCTACCAAAGACCCAAGAGAAGATTAACTGAGGTTCTAGGGATCTTAACTGTGGGGGTGGGGAAGGGTCCTTCTTTCACTTCACAGAGAGAAAACTGGGGTCTGGGAAGGAAAGGGTGTGGAGCCAGAACTATCCTTTCCAATCAGTGCCTTTCTTTTCCTACCAGACCATGTAACAAGAGTGGCCTGATTGGCCGGTTTTTCTACTGACTGCTAGTGGCAGATTCTGACTGGTTAGCAGTCTGCCAGCAGTGGTGACGAAGAAATGAGATTGATCTTTTCTTTCTTAGGATTGGTTAACAACCCTCAGGGGGGCCGGAGACTTGTTTTTATTGACTGGCTAGGATACAAGGGAGATTCAGTTTCTCTCATATAGAAATCCCAAGTATTCTTTTCTGCAAAGGTCACCGAGAAATAATCTTGATTGGCTTATACATGTTTGCCTTTGGATGGGGAATGCTGTAGCTTAGGGAAGAAAAATCAAGAGAATCGTGCAGGCATGCCACAGTTCAATTAGAAACCCCAGAGAGAGCATTCACAGAAAGAAGAATGATGAGAGAGAGAGAGAGAGAGAGAGAGAGAGAGAGAGCGCGCAGAGAGGTGAGGACACAGAAACGCAAAGAAAAAGTATTGCCTGAGAGAAGAGGAAGGGTTTGAATAATTTGTTTCTCATTCCTGATGGCTTAAGATGAGACTACTTTATGATGTGTCTTGCTATATGTATGTGTTGCCAACACATGGAATGAAAAGAACAGCTGTCTTAGAGGCAGGAGACTGGAAGTCTAGTCCCCAGTCCTGCTACTAACTAGTTGAGTAACTATGCAAGTTCCTTCATCTTTCAAAGTTTCAGTTCCACATTTGGAAAAAGGGAGACAAGTAGGTGACCATCTGGTGGTCACTTTCCAGGATTCTCTTTCTCTCTGCCAAGTAGGCACTTTTCTGCAAGTTCAAATGGTACCTTTGCACTGCCAGTAAGGACTATTCTTAGATATTGAGCATCTCTATTTGTGATTGTTAATTTCAAGCTCCTGGGTTATGATGGGCTGTTGGGCATTGACTGATGGATTTTCTACGTTCCCAAGATAACAGGACTGTGAGCCATTGGTAAACTTCCCTGCTTCTGGAGAAAGAAAACAGTAGATGGAGGAAGGGAAAGGATCACTGCTATTCAAGTTTCTGAGGGAGGACTCAGTGGGAGAGTTGGTGGCAGAAGGTTAGCCAATTTTTTTTTTTTTTTACTGGGGAAGAACTTAAGTTGGGTGGCAGAGGCTGGAGGATCACTTGAGGCCAGGAGTTTGAGACTAGCCTGGGCAACATAGCCTGTCTCTAAAGAAAAAAAAAAAAAAATTAGCCAGGTGTAGTGGCATGCACCTGTAGTCCAGCTACTTGGGAGGCTGAGGTGGGAGGATTGCTTGAGCCCAGGAGTTATAGTGAGCTGTGCAACCCTGTCTTAAAAAAAAAAAAAAGTATGTAGGGCAACCCCCTTGGGTCCCCTCCCACTGTGAGGGCTTTTCTATCCTCTCAATAAATCTTGCTTTCCAAAAAAAAAAAAAAGTATGTGAACAGTTTTGTTCCTTAACATTGGAAGTTCCCTCTGAAGCCAGGGGAGACATACAGACAAAATAGAAAATAAAAGTCCTTGTGGACTGGGCTTGGTGGCTCAGTCTGTAATCCCAGCATTGGGAGGCCGAGGCGAGTGAATTGCCTGAGCCGGCTGGTTGGAGACCTGCCCAGACAACTTGGCGCGACCTCGTCTCTACACCACATCAAATAAATTAGCCGGGTGTGGTAGCGCATGCCCGTAGTTCTGGCTACTTGGAAGGCTGAGGTGGAAGGATTGCTGGAACCCAGCAGGTCGAGGCTGTGGTGGCCGGGAGCGTGCCACTGCACCCCAGTCTGGGTGACAGAGTGAGACTCCAACTAAAAAAAAACCCGAAAAACTCCTTGTGATGTGCTGTGAAGGAAAGCAAGCTAGATTTTGGGACACTACTAATTAATTACATGACTTTGAGAAAATCACTTCACCTCTCTAGACTTCAATTTTCTCATCTGTAGGAAACACTAGATGATGACTAAGTTCTCTTTCATCTTTAAATGTATATTAAATAGCCTTTCTGGCCTTTCTGGTCTGCTCTTGTCTCCTGTGACTTCAAGTAATCAACCAATATTTATTAAGCATCTACTATGTGCAAAGTATTGTGCTACATATTGTGAGTGGAAGGCTGAGTCAGAGGGATCACTGGGGCCTAGCAGCAGGTTGATGCTGGGGTGGCTGTGAGCGTGCCACTGCACTCCAGCCTGGGCTATGGAGTGAGACTCTGACTCAAAAAAAAGGGAGAAAATATAATCTCTTGTCTTCATACATTTATAATCAGTAAGAAAGACATGTGCGTATATAACTCTAATGTGCAGCACTGTTTAATTGACAATATGGGTCCTGGGAGTTGGAGAAGTGTTCTGATTTCCAGCTAGAATAATCAAAGGGGCACCATGATTAAGGCAAGCTTTTTCCTTTTTAAGAAAATGATGAAGTATTTGAATCCTATAAAGGAATGTAAGTAATGTGTAATTATTTACTCAACATATTTATTGAGTATCTGCTATGTGTTTGGTGCTGGGAGCACAGGCATGAACAAAGCAAGATTTGAGTTGGAGTCTCACTCTGTCACCCAGGCTGGAGTGCAGTGGCATGCAGCCCATAGTCACCGCAGCCTCAACTTGCTGGTGTTTTCCCAG